GTGAATTCATGCTGACTCTTCCTGATCACTTTTTTCTCCTCTAAATGTTTCATAATTGATTCCTTGAGGACCTGCTCCATGATTTCTCCATTGCACAACTCCAGTAGGGGCAGAACCGGGCCAGGCTCATGTAGTGAGGCCATGGTTCACACCTGGAGTGATCTGGCTACTTACTTGCAGAGAGCCTGCTTTTATGCAAAAAGTTGCACAACCTGATGTCACATGCTGCATCTGATAATTAGGTCCAGTGGTAGGGGCCTAGGTCGCAGCGAGGTGCAGGATGGCACCTAGACTAAGACTGGTTTCAGAGTAGCAGGCGTGTTAGTCTGTATCCGCAAAAAGAAGAACAGGAGTACTTGTGGCACCTTAGAGACTAACAAATTTATTAGAGCATAAGCTTTCGTGGACTACAGCCCACTTCTTCGGATGCATATAGAATGGAACATATATTGAGGAGATATATATATACACACATACAGAGAGCATAAACAGGTGGGAGTTGTCTTACCAACTCTGAGAGGCCAATTAATTAAGAGAAAAAAAACTTTTGAAGTGATAATCAAGCTAGCCCAGTACAGACAGTTAATGTGGGAGAGCAGAGTGATAAGCCTTTTTAATGAAAAAAAGGCTTTCCATTTCCCCAGAAGATGTTAATGTACTACACTTGGTGTTCACTTTGTAGTCTATTATTGCTGTGGGGGAAAAAAGATTCTACCAATGTCTCCACTTTTAGTGAATGAATGGTGAGTTAAAAAAGCTGTGCTGAAAGAATTATAGTCAGATTAGGAGCTGTTTGAAATGCTGAACCTTGATGTAAATTGTCTTGATTTCAGGCAAAAGCAAAGAAGCAGAGATAAAGAGGATAAACAAAGAACTGGCAAACATTCGGTCAAAATTTAAAGGTAAGTGTATTTTAAGAACCTTCAAATCTTTACCTTGACTTTTATCCTGTACTTTATTCTCTCATCTCATCATGTGATAATTTTCTTTCTTTATTGTCTTTCATTTTTCTTCTGGTCTCAAGTGAGCAAAATGCTAATGTTATCTATCAGATATAATACTGAGAACTGAGCAGTTGTCCATTCTAAATGATCTGTCAACCTGTGAAAGTCCATGCCAGAGGATGTTATGAAGGCCAAGACTATAACAGGGTTCAAAGAAGAACTAGATAAATTCATGGAGGATAGGCCCATCAATGACTTTTTAATGGGGCTTCTAAAATTAGATTCAACATAAGCAGTTTTAAATTTTAATATAGTAATATAATGTGAGCAATACTAGGTATTCTTATAAAATGAAGACTAGAAGACTTAGCTTCCATGCTGTGTAGTGTTAAAACTATACCTCAAGTGTATATTTAATACATCATATATACCTATAGTTATAATCTCATCCAAGATTACTAAACGTTCTGAATTTAAGTGTGTGGTTTGTGCAGTTACTAGTGGCCGCTGCAATTTCCTAATGAAGTGTTTCACCAGCGGTGTCTTCACTCAATAAATGTTTATATTGACTTGTTATACTGAGTGAGGGCTGCATATATTTCAATAGTAATGTGTAGTAGGGAGAAAGCTGTCTGCATCTTCAAATTTACTATATGGTAAACCTGTTAAGATTTTTCTCAAAAGCTCCCCAAAAGTCTTGTATTCTCTGTCACAAATAGTGCTATTTCTAATCAGAGTAATCACTTGTTCACTTAGACTTTGTCTTAAAAACACCACCCCTTGAACGACAAAAGTTTTGCTGACGAAAAGCACCTGCGTGCTCCCAGCATAGCATTTTCATATGCCACAGGCCTAAGCGAATAGCCAGGAGATCCTGGTGTGCACATTTTACTGATCTGCCTGCAGTATATTTCAAACTTAGTAGATACAGCACTTCTGGGCTCTGCTCTCTTGATAACCTTGCAATAGTCCAAAGTTTTGGTGTATTTAAAACTGCAGACACAGCGGACTTAAATTTGTTTAGCTGGGCTGTTTATTTTATCAGGCAAAGTCTCTAGACATGAAGCATCTTGTTAGTAAAATATGTTGGGGAGCAAAGAGACGCTAGTTCACATGCTAATTAACAGACTTCTTTTGCAGAAACAAGTGTCTAGGGAAAGTGATACAGGTGGCTTCTAGAAGAGAAACAAATTAAGATT